GATAGACATCCTTGCTGGTGTTAGATGGATCTTGGCTGAAAGCAGAGAATATTAGAAAGCTGTTTACCCTGCTTTATTGACTACACAAAGGCTTTCGACCATGTGGATCATGACAAGCTATGGACAACATTGCTGAGAGTGAATATTCTGAAACACTTAATTGTGCTTGTAAGGAACTTATACATATACCAAAAGGCAGTCATTTGAACAGAACAAGAGGACACTGAATGGTTTTAAATCAGGAAAGGTGTGCATCAGGGTTGTATTCTTTCACCACATTTATTCTATCTCTATGTTGAGCAAATAATCAGAGAAGCTGGTTTATATAAAGGATAACATGACATCAACCTTCAATATGCAGATGATACAAACTTGCTTGCTGAAAGTGAAGAGGACTTCAGTATTTTAATACTGATGAAGATCAAAGACTACAGCCTTCAATGTGAATTGCACCTCAATATAAAGGAAACAATAATCCTCACAATTCAATCAATAAATAATCTCAAGATAAATGGGAGAAAGTTTGAAGTTGTCAAAAACTTCATTTTGCTAGGATCCACCATCGACACTCATGGAAACAGCAGTCAAGGAATCAAACGATGCATTGCACTAGGCAAATCTGCTGCACAAGACCTCTTTAAAGTGTCCAAGAGCAAAGATGTCAGTTTGAGGATTAAGGTGCACTTGACTCAAGTCAGGATATTTTCAATAGCCTCATATGCATTTGAAAGTTGAACAATGAATAAGGAAGACCTTAGAAGAACTGATGGATTTGAGTTATGGTGCTGGAGGGGAATATTAAAAGCACCGTGGCTCACCAAAAGAACAAACCAATCTGTGTTGGAAGAAGTACAACCATAATGCTCCTTAGAAGCCAGGATGACCAGATTGTGTCTCTCATACTTCGGACATATTATCAAGAGGGACCAGTCCCTGGAGAAGGACATCATGCTTGGTAGGAGGGTCAGTGTAAAAGAGGAAGACCCCCAATGATATTGGCGCAGTGGTAGAAGCAATGGGCTCAAGTGTAACAGCTATTGTGAGAATGGTAGCTATGAGTTGGAACAGACTCAACAGCACTTTGCAACAACAACAACAACAACAACTGAATATGTCAATCCTGGCTCTTCTTGGCCACCACAGTAGCCTCTGAACAGGCCTCCCTGTAGTCCTTAGCTTTTCATCATCCTGTCCTTCATTCTGTTGCCATTTAAAAATGGTGGTGGTAGTGGTGGTGTGCTGTTGAGTCGGATCCAACTCACAGTGAACCTGTATAGGGTTTCTGTGGCTATAAATCTTTACCGGAGCAGACAACCTCATCTTTCTCTTGTGTTGTTGTTGTTGTTGTTGTTGTTAAGTGCCGTCGAGTCGGTTCTGACCCACAGCGACCCTGAACAGGGTTTCTGAGGCTGTAAATCTTTACGGCAGCAGAAAGCTTCATCTTTCTCCCATGGAGCAGCTGGTAGTTTCGAACTGCTGACCTTGTGGTTCACAGCCCAATTCGTAACCACTATGCTACCAGAGCTCCTTGTGTAGTCTTTCTAAAATGGTATGAATTGCCCAGAGGATAAAATTTAGACTTTTAGCATACATCCAAAACCATTTTTGCCTTCTCAAGATTTTTTTTTTTTACACTTCTTCAAATAAATCTTATTTTTTAGCTATAAGAAATTATTTAGTCTCTTTAGAAGTGTCCAAGTGTTTCAAGTGTCCTACTTTTGCATATGTATGTAACAAGTTTGGGATTACTTAGTGTTTGCCTCCTCTCCCCAGCAGGAATAGTGGGTCCCAGCATTGTATTTCTAGCACAGCACTTACACACTCATACCAGTGATTCTCGTTAGACGACTGTGCCTCCCTCATCTTTGTATTCCCAGCACCTAACCCAGCCAGCACTCATAAAAGCAGCAATCATGAAATAAAGAATGTATTGGATTAGGCAAATCTGCTGCAAAAGGCTTTTAATAAGTGTTCAGGGACAAAGAGATGAGCTTGAGGAGTATACCTGAAGAAAGACTGTAGAAGAGTCCATGCATTTGAATTATGGTGTTGGCAAAGAATATTGAAAGTACCATGGACCAACAGAAGCGCAAACAAATCTATCTTGGAAGAAGGCTAGTCAGAATTCTCCTTAGAAGCCAGGCTGGTAAGACTTTCTCTCTCATCTTTGGACGTGTTATCAAGAGTGACCAGTCCCTGGAGAAGGATCATGGTGCTTGGTAAAGTGGGTCAGTGAAAAAGAGAAGCTCCTCAATGAGATGTGTTGACACAATGGCAGCAGCATTAGGTTCAAACATAGCAATTGTGAGGATGACTCAGGACGGGGCAGTGTTTCATTCTGTTGTATACAGGGTTGCTGTGAGTCAGAACTGACTCGACAGTCGACATGTAAAAACAAAAATAACCACTCAATACTGTGTGGGTCAAAACAAATTATGGATAACATTCCAAAGAACCAGAATTCTAAAACATGCGCTCATGCAGAACCTGTACATAGACCAATAGGCAGTCATTTAAATACAACAAGGAGCTACTGCCTGGTTTAAAATCAGGAAAACTTTACGTCAGGGTTATACATTTTCATCATATTTATTCAATCTATATGCTGGGCAAATAATCCAAGAAGCCAGACAATATAAAGAACACGGCATCAACATTGGAGGAAGACTCACTAAAACGTTCTGGTATGGGGATGATACAACCTTGCTTGCTGAAAGTGAAGGTGACTTGAAGCACTTACTGGTGAACATCAAAGACTCCAGATTTCAGCATGGATTA